CTTGGTTTTTGGCGAGCCTAATGAACTTCTCTTCGTCTTCAGAGTCCGGGATGAGGACGTCAGGTTTCGTAACGATACCAAGTGTTCGCTGCAGGTTCTTATCATGTCCCTTAACTTTGGCAAGTACTTTCTGCATGACAAATGAATTGCGTGCTGACACGATAGCCAGAATAATGCTATTCTTCCGTGCCATGTAGGTCTCAACAAGACGATCCACGATCTGTAGGCCGTCGGCATGTTGTTCGTCACTTTCGGAATGATAGAAACCAGGAAGATCCACTAACGTAAGGTGGGGGACCTCTGGCGAACGTATTTCGACGCGTAACACATCTTCTGAGAAGCGGGCATTGTTCCGAAGCAGGCGAGCTTTCGCTTCCTCGATGATACGGGGCAGGTCGTCCGTGTCGAACTTTGTTTCGTCGAATTCGTAATCTATATCGGCCAACCCAGATGCGGGTTGTATCTGCACATGGATTTTGGTGTGCGGATCAGTTCGAAGCACTAATTCCGTGGCGAAACGAGTGCATAATCCATCTTTGATAGGAAAGCGGACTCGTGAGATGGCCTCTAGCACTGAAGATTTGCCCGAAGATTGATCCCCAACAACGATGATCTGGGGGAGATCTACAAAACGGCCAATCCCAAGCTTGCGCAGATCGTCTATAGTGTCGAGGAGAGCTTTCCGTTCTCCACCCAGCTGTTCAATAGCCTCTAGATCGAGAGAAACTGTAGCCATTGCGGAGGCTAATATGTATCACTACGTAGAGTGATTGCGCCAGAAACTGAGTTTCGTGCAAATATACGAAAGGGTGCGAAATGACATTTACTTCTTATGAGTGATTTTGTTGGGAGGGCTGCACATACTCATGCAGTTTTAACTTCTCCTAGGCAGCATTGTGGAAGAAAAGTACCTAGATTGAGGAAACATCCCTACCACCTGCACTACATACCAACATGCATAAAAGTATCAATGATGCTTGGAATTGTTGGGGCTTACCACACCTGAAACTGCACAACAAAGAGCCTCTATATATAACCCAGATCAGCCTATCGGGAGGGTGCCTTCCTGCAACAAGTGTTCAGCCATTACAGATTTCTTGGGCTCAATGCTACATCGTATTATTGGCTGCTTACTTGGCCTGACAGTGCACTCAAGCCACAGCTGGGGTTCGGCGGTTAGCCTAGGACTTGTGTACAGTATAAGTACTTACTCTACGTGGGTAATTTTAATGGCGGAAGTGACCGCGGTCGGAGTGATCCTCCCACGCACTGTTTTTATGGCTGGCTGTATGCACGACGCAACCAACAGCATTATAATAGCATGACCACCTCGCTTTGAACCCTGTCGATTCAATAGCTTTTCAACTGCATTTCCATAGGCCCCATTTACCAGGTTCTAGAGTCTTGTCTACAAATGCTGTAGAAGGAGCATTAAGTGGTGGTCTGGAGTTGTAGGCTGCCTTCCTACTAGGTACCTATAGGGGAGGTTTGGGTAGGTATGTAAGTAGACAGTGTCTGCATTTCAGTACATATAATATTTCACATGAGGTTAGGCGACGAGCGAAAACCAATATTAGCGCTGTCAGAAATCGAACCCAACTCGTAACATACGCCACCCACATGTAGGTAAATTTAATACATCCTACTAATATTGACCAAGCACTCCTACAACAAAGATCCAAACTCTCTTTTCGGCTACTACGAATTATTATTGTCTATACCGACTCCTCAAGCTAAGAGGGTTAATAAAGAAGACAAGCTGCTTGCACATGTTAGAGGTTTTTGCTTCAGAGTAAGATACAATAGTTAGAGCTAGATATTATTGATTCCTCAACTTATCCAACTAGTTTGACCTGATATAGCTAGTATGGTTAGTGTAGGAAGAGAAGGAGCTATATCTAATAGTATATTTAGGTAGCTGAGCATGTGATAGCCGTCGATCGACTTGATACTTATCCACCAACGACAGGAGACCGTGGACCATGTTATATTGCTACTGAACTAAATCTGACCAAATTTTTGGAACAGGTTGGCAGGAGCCTTGCAGGTGATAGCAGGCATTGCGGTTGTTGAAAACAAGAAGTCTGTTCAGTGTTTCAAATTTGTTTATCCAAAATCTATTGTTATTGCCTGGGTGAGTCATAGTCGACAAAGTGATAGCATTCAGAGTAATTGTTTGGCAGTATGCGATGCGGATATCTTTTCTTATACAAACATATATAAGTTGGTATAAATTGCTCTCGGGGGCACTGTCTCGTGCAACTCACGTCGAAAGGTACCTCTTGTCTCGGCTACTGACATAAAACACCTTTCTCCTAACTTGCCTGAAGAGAATATAAAACATCAAACTCAAGTAGGAAAACATCGCATTCACCATCAAGCTCATACCGCAAGTCACAGACGGTCTTTTACACATGTCTTTGCCTACCTTTTCAACTTCCCATGGCAGCGGCAGTAAACCTAGAAGGGTTATCAAGCTGCGAAATGGCACCGCCTCGAGCACCAAAGACGATTCTTCAGGTTGGTGTCATTGCATATGTGAGAAAGACGGACACGAAACCCCCAAATCCAATCTCGAGAAGGCTAAGGATGGCTCGGGTAGATGGGTGTGCGGGGGCTGCTATGACAGGGCAGGAAAGATTGGTCATTGCGGTTGATGCGTCAAACGAGAAAATCCGTAAGCAAACACATCGGCTGTCTGAAATTCTTTGACGCGATTGCGTGGCTATGTGTGCTCTTGTGACTCACTATGTGCCTAAGAAGCTACTAGCATCGCTGGAAAGAGCAAGAATGGCATCGGAGCAATCTAACAGACCTTTTGAAACAAGAACAGTTCAGGGTCATTGTTTAGGCTGACGAGGGTGAGTTACTCTGATTCAAGGACCGTAATGATAGCGTGTTAGATTGATAAAAGCTCAATGAAAAACTGTATGCGTAATACATGTGAAGCACGGAGTATTCGTGCATATTGTGATCGTACGTTGAATAAGCAGTACTCATCACCCACCCTAAAAATGACCAAGGCGAAGGAAACCATGTGTAAACGATAATCCCTTTTAGCATTTAAGTGGCCTTCTTGGACATAATGAGGACTTTACTAAGTAAGCTACTTACGTTTGCCCATGTTCAGCAAACTATGCCTATAATAATAGATCGCTCCGGAGGCAAAAGCTGTGCCGATGAATGGGACGAGTGCGAGGGTTGCAACGCGGTCCTTAATACTTAACACTCGAATAATGCAGTCAAGAAAGGGGATGTCACCTGGCATTCCCGCTCTCATGTCAAGTGTATTGCCAATCGAGAATTTTATCATCGTCACATGAACTCAGCCAGAGACGAAGCACTGACTCATCGTGTTCCAGAACTCTTGCCATTAGGTCATCCTGCTGTGTTTGTAGGACACCATCCTGCGATCGACCACGCTGATATTAGCCCGTATACCTGAATAGGAAAGTGGCCTATTTTCGATTGGTCAGTCCCTGGAACAGCACCAACCTGGGTAACTAAATCTTGTCTGCCTAAGCACCTGGGCGAAGAAGAGAGGTAACTGCCCGCTGCGGTGGCATATGACGAGAAATAGCTGCCCGGGCGTCAAACCGATTGGTGCCTCATTCAATATTTTTCTATAGTAATTAGATATCGTGTGCTCTGTCCTGAAAGTCAACGTATCTCTAGACGGAGCGGCCCTGCCCACCGTAGCCCAGAATGGCGACGGAGCACCAGTCTCCGTCTTCGACCGCCACAACAGTCCGCAGCGGATCATGAGAGCCACGGAGTTGTTGAGCGAGTGTCCCTCCTAATGGGTATATAAATATCCTTCGATTGAGTCATGAACACATCAATTATTCAGCCATTGCTTGAATTTAAAAATTTGCTGTGAATTAGCAAGGGATAATCAATATGCGCTGGGCATCTTGGGCACTGTTGGCGACCAGCATCGTAGGCGGGGCAAATGCGGCCTCGCTAACCAAAGTCACCGAAGACTTTGGTCCAAACCCGAGGAACGTCGGATTCTATATTTACGTGCCGGACAAGCTTGCGGCAAACCCCCCGGTACTCGTCAACCCACATTGGTGTCACGGCGATGCACAAGCATGCTACGCCGGATCGCAGTACGCGACCATGGCGTCGAAATATGGCTTTATCGTCATCTACCCAGACAGCCCTAACACGGCCGACAAGTGCTGGGATGTGTCGTCGAACGACACTCTGACGCACGATGCGGGCGGCGATAGCTTGGGGATAGTCAGTATGGTGCGCTGGACACTCAACAAATACAACGGCGACCCCAAGCGCGTGTTCGTCACGGGCGTCTCTTCGGGCGCGATGATGACAAGCACGCTGATCGGGGCGTATCCGGACGTCTTCGCCGCTGGCTCTGCATTTGCCGGTGTTCCTTTCGGCTGTTTTGCTGGGAATGGATACGGCGTTTGGAGTGATGCGTGTGCGACGGGGAAAATCTCACGCACGCCAGCGGAATGGGCAGCATTGGTTAAGGCGGCTTATCCCGGATATGACGGTTGGCGGCCGAAAATGCAGATTTTCCACGGCACCGTGGATGAGACGCTGAATTACAAGAACTTTGAGGAAGAGGTCAAGGAATGGAACGCTGTTCTGGGCTACAGCCAGACGCCCACCAGCTCGACGGTTAACACACCTGTCAGCAATTGGACAAAGTATACATATGGCCAACGTGACTGGCTCCAAGCTTATAGTGCCGGAGGCGTGTCACATAACATCCAGAACCAGGAGGCGGTGGTTATGTCTTGGTTCGATCTTGCCTGTACATCGGGGAATTGCTTCAACTGGGGTACGGGCGGTGCCTGATTCCGCAAACAGTTGAGAAAAGATATCTGAATAGAATAATAGCATGTTGTTGTTCGGTATTAACGTCGTCGGGTAGGGGTCGTTCTACGGTTCTAGTAGATGCCTATCCCGCATTTTGCGAGTGAGTACATGTTCGAACGCTGCGTAGAATATGAAAAAAAACAGCAAAATATTGACCTCGCTGGGGGTCGAACCCAGAATCTCCTGATCGCTCTAAGAAATCAAGTGTTGTTATGAAATCTCTCGTAGTCAGACGCCTTGCCATTGGGCCACGAGGCCAGTGGATTGGTAATTGGCATCGTCTAATACCATTATGTGCTGCAGAGTTTTCCCAATCCCTAAGGAGGCCAAATGAAGGGTCCTAACTGCGGGGTAACCCTTGGTAGATATGGCTACCCCGCCATAACCCATGTATAAATTCGCGGTATTCATCCTTTAAAAAGTGAGGCAGTGTTGCTTTTTGATTCAAAGTAGAAATGGGAGTTATATCATTCTCTATAGATGGAGAGCTTCTTAAGTCTTGTATGGGGTATTATGTCTAAAAGCCCGTGGCAGCTGAGGTAATTAATTTTAATCTTTGACGGGTTGTCTTACGTTTTCCGTTAGTCACTTGAGATTCTTTACACTTTTACACTTTTGCGGCTAAGAAAGAGCTATCGGGTTCTCACATTTATATACTAGCTTCTTGTTTCGAGGCCATACATATCTTGTTACACATGAGAATTTGCTTAATGAGACTCCTTTTGCGCCGTCACCATCCAAATATCACCAGTAGTATTCAGGCCGTGAAAACAGTTGACCTATACCAAATATTGGTGCTATTGTATTGTAAAATATATATGGTATATATGCGCCCTATTTAGGTAATGTAATGGAATGTTACCAATACAGGAGAAAGAGAAGCTGGTTCTTTGCTAGGTTTGGTCTAGTAAATTTCGCGTTGTGTTTGTGAAGGTCTTCGTACGTCACTTACTCAGCCAAATAAGGTGAGTAATATGCTTATACACCTTTCATCTTACTCTGGCGCTATAATTACCTAAGTAATACTAACAAAAGCAACGCGCATCTACTACGCCCCCTAATTGAGTTGTTAGTCGGCATTTTACATATTCGCGACCTCTGCTAATAATCGATCAGGTTTCAAAATTCAAAATGGGGGTCAGTTTCTCTCAAAGTGCGGCAATCGTTAGCAATATCCGAGATATGCACTGGAAGCGTGCGCCACAGAAAATGCGGCATTAGTGAGCATGCAGGAAAGCAGCGAGAGCTGCAGCACGATAGAATATCAAGAGTTACCGGAACTAGATCTCTTTCTTCAGCTTATCGATCTTAACGATATTATGTTGAGCCTATATGATACAGAGTTCCGCGCGATTCTACTTCCTTGGCCAAGGTTATTGCTGCAACAGTTGGAATTAGGCGCACCATAGTCAAGTCAGAAGATAGAGATAAGATGTATTGGGAAGGATTGCGTTTGTTGTTCAAGAGCAGCGGATACTACCAATCACCCATGGCTCAATACAATGCAGATCAAGGCGGTGAGTCGCGAGAACGCGTCAATTAGTCCCTTGTGTAGCCGTTGAATGGTCCGACCCTATGGGATTGGTCGTCACGCTTGCTTGCAATCCTGCCCTTTTCCCAATAGCAGCGATACTTCGTCATGGCCATGGACCATGGTTCAAGGATGAAAATATCTTGAGTCTAGACCTAAGACTAGTGGGCGCTAGCCATAAGGGTACCTAGCATATTAATATTCGTGCTAATGAAGGAAGTCGTTGCAATCTCTCCCCCATACTGAGATCTGCAAACCTCATAATGCCGTCTAGCAGGGCCCAAGAGCTCATTGAGCTTCTTGATAACATTGAAGTCTCCGATTACAAAGATGATTCGAGCGGGCATGGCGATCGTGTAGTAGTTGCGGAGGCCGCGCGGCGACTCCTCGCCCGCTTAGAGACACCCTTTGAGCGGGCATGGCGGCTATCTTGGATCAATGGTAATGTACACTCGGCAATACAAGTCCTTTTGGATCTCGGAATTTGGGAAAGCTGGTATACAAGCAAGCGACGTGAGATCTCGTTGTTGGAGCTTCACGCTTTGGCTCGGACACCATGTGATTTGAATCTTCTCCGTAAGTCAGTCGATTCCACTATGTGATCGATCTAAAAAGGGCCATTTAAGAGGTGTTACAGTGCCTTACTCTAGTAAAAATGATGAGATTGTCCACTGATGATATGAGCAAGGTCGTTTGCTTCGGCTTCTGGTTGCTGAGCACGTCATTCAGGAGCTTGGGGAAGATCGATACTGTGCGACCGCCTTCTCAGATACCCTTGGGCAAACGGAGGAGCCTGTTGCTCAAACAATCTTGTCGGGGTACGTAACAGGCTCGTTGCGTCCCCTCGCTTTCTCTGACGGTTATACACGCTCAAAAGGACGCATCACGGCCTGGATTCAAGTCGGAATTTGCCACGCTTCTTGTCAAGGACAGGATACGCAGAGCCCTTAGACGCGAGAAATACGAGCTATATGGACTTGACGGCGGACCGCCTGGGTATGTTCGAGCGATGCCGCGCAAATCCGGACTACCAAGTTAGCTTCATCGGATTCATGCGCGGACTCGCGGCTTACAAGCTGGACTGGACTGAAATCTATGACACGAGAATCCTCATGCGTGACTTTGACGCTAACGGGGAAGCGGCACTTCTAGTCGACATGGGAGGTGCTCATGCTGTAGATTTAGAGCGTCTGCTACGTCGGTATCCATATTTACCTGGCGGAAAGCTCATCTTACAAGATACACCTGACGTTGTGGAGATGGCGACAGTAAGTGAAAAGATTCAGGTCATGGGCCATGACTTTTTCACGCCTCAGCCCGTAAAAGGTGAGTAAAAGACGCCCCTTGGCCCCGATCTCCCATCCTCAGTTATCTATACCCTATCTTCTATATAGTCTTATACTACCATTGTCGCAACCAACTTGAAGGTCGTAGTGACTAACATACCTCCATTGACTTAGGGGCCCGAGCCTACTTTATGCATGCAATCCTCCACGACTGGGACGACTCAGATGCAGGTCGCATTCTCAACAACATCGTCGCAGCCATGAGAAAGGATTATTCAAAGCTTCTCCTTTACGAGAGCGTACTCGTGAGTACAGGCGCGACAATGTACCAAAGTGTTGCAGACATCAGCATTATGCACCTTATATCAGCAGCCGAGCGATCAGAGGCAAGGTGGAGAGAGCTCCTTCAAGCTGCTGGCTTTAAGGTCTGTAAGATATGGTGTCATCCTTCATCATTAGAGAGCGTGATTGAGGCTGAATTGGCATAAGTCTGGGCCTTATCGGATATGAGTTGGTATGAGAGAGAGCAAGATGGTCAACACCATTTGTTAAGCCCAAATTAGATTCCCACACTTTTGAGTAAGAGGCCAATTAGTTTGACGATCTCATAAATAAGCAACAGAAGCCCCTCTTTCTGATCAAGCAGCACTCCTTTCCGATCTTATTTTAGTCTCCTTCGTGTCTCACTCCCTGACTGACTGCGCCCTCATTTTTCTATAACTGTACTCGACCCGACATACCTCACTTCTAACCCTCAGCTCATTCCGAGAGAATCATCCCCGTCGCCTCATTATTTCAATTATTTTTACTCTTTTCACTTCTATGCCACCGAATCAAGAGTGAAATCCCTGTGATGAGAGCACCCGCGCCCTCCCAGACCGCCGGTACGCTCCATCCTTGGGCAAAGAAGACCGCAGTAGTGAGTAACCGCATAGGCACAGTGGCGACAAAGAACGTGGTGTTTTCTTGATACGCTGCCAAGGTATAGTACAACCCCATCGCGATGGCAGCGAGCCCATTGCCTCGAGCCACGGGCGTGCAGGCGAGAGGGAAGTTGAGCTGCGAAGCCGACGAGGACGGGTCGATCAGTGACGAGACGCCGGCCAAGAACGCGGTGACACCAAAAAGGTAGATCGTGAGGGCCGCTGAGGAAGGCATGTTGCGGTCTAGGCTTGAGTGAGGGCGGGAGTACAAGCGTGGAGACGAGATAGGGCTATGTGTATATGAGCTTCGGGTCCGCTGGCGCAGGTAAACGACTTAGGAAGAACGTGTTTACCACGACCATCACTGTTTGTTTGAATCCACTATTACTAAAGGGAGGTAGTATAAATCGGTACAGTATCCGTGCTCTCCAAAGGTGGCGCGATACTTGCCCCATATTCTACTAAATCAAGCATAGAGTTACCTTAAACTCTTGCTGGCTCTCTGCCTAAGTCGGGCACCATCTGAGACATATTTAGTGCGAACAGGCAACTGAAGCCCCCCCAGCCCATCGTCGTGGCCTTGAAACACCAGTCGCGAGTCACTTACCATAACATTGTATTGTCTCAAAACCAGACTCCTCACACTAACTTGAATGTTCGCAGATCCACGCCGCGCTCCTTCAACGCCGCTACACACAGCCGCGGATCCCAATGAATGCGCTGCCCACTGTTTCTGTTTCGAAACCGCGTACAAATAAATGGATCATCTGGGGTACGATTAAACGGCACCTGCTCCCACTCCGACGTCTCCTCAAGCCGTGCGTCTTGTTCTGTCACCTCACCAGTACTCGAATTTAGGTAGGATGGTATTTTGACCCCGCTGGCATCCTGCGCCGCTTGAAATCTCCACGGCTCCGGGAGTTGCCCAAGCAGAGCCTCGGCGTCCATCAGGCCGTGGATGTAGCAAGCTCCGATTACTTGGAAGCCAGTGTTACTGTTCACTGGTCGGAGAATCATGGGTGTGCTGCAGCCCAGAATCACAGCAGTCATGTCTCCTAACCTTGTAGCCGCTGGAGCAAGCCCGACACGGCCCTGGGACGTGGTGACAAAAGCCATACCTTTCAGGTGCCGAATGACGGTTCTCACATGGATGTGGGCGCCACCTAGGACGTCCGCACTGCCGGCGAGATCGTCGGGCAACAATATCTCTTTCCACTCCTTCGCAAAGGGATACCGTGATTCTGGCACACGTTCCCTTGTCTGGCCCAGGCAAATGGCCGTTACATACGCTTCCTGCAAGGTCTCGCCAGTCACGTATTTCTTGTGCGCCGCGTCCTGTGGCTGGCAACTGCGCACCCACTCCACCAGCTCGCGATACGGCGGCCCCTGTGGACTCTCCCACGCCATTGGGCTTTTCATCTCACCGACCTCACCGCACGTCACCCCCGTCACCTCCAGCAGCCCGGGCGCGATATACTTGGCCTCCGCACAAGACGTCCCGCTCGCAGAGCATTCTGC